GCCATAGCAGGGCTGGTGCTGCCTGGCCTGGGGCTGCTGCCTTGCGCCGTCCGTCTCATAAATGATGCGTTGTTCATCGCTGAGTGTCTGATGGTGCTTTGGCCGTGGCAGCATGAGCGTCACTGCGCGGTGTGTGAGAAGAGGAAGGCCATCTTTGGCATCCAGCTTTGCCGTGTGATCGGGGGGCTTGGATTGCAAGCAGCCAGGGAGGGGATGCTCAGTGCATCCCGCTTTGACGGAAGCCTCAACGCCAGCCAGCAATGTGCGCCGGCAGCCCAGAAGGCCAACGGTACCCTGGGCTGCATGGAGAGAAGTGTGAGCAGCAGGGCAGGGAGGTGATTCTGCCCTCTGCTCTGCTCTCGTGAGACCCCACCTGGAGCACTGCGTCCGGTTCTGGGGCCCCGAACATCAGAAGGACACGGAGCTGTTGGAGAGGGACCAGAGGAGGGCAGTGAGGATGATCGGAGGGCTGGAGCACCTCCACTATGGGGACAGGCTGAGAGAGCTGGGAGTCTGCAGACTGGAGAAGAGAAGGCTCCAAGGAGACCTGATAGCAGCCTGCCGGGACCTGGGCGTATTACAGGAAAGCTGGGGAGGGCCTTTTGATATGGCCAGATATTGGCAGGACAAAGGGAAATGGTTTTAAAGTGGGAGAGCGTAGGTTTAGAGTAGGGATTAGGAGAAATGCTTTCCTATGAGGGTGGTGAGACAGTGGTGCAGGTTGCCCAGCCAGGCTGTAGATGCCCCGTCCCTGGAAGCACTGCAGGCCAGGCTGGATGGGGCTGTGAGCAAGCTGGGCTATGGGAGGTGTCCCTGCGTGCAGCAGGGGGTTGGGAGTGGGTGAGCTTCAAGGTCCCTTCCAACCCAAACCTTTCTGTGATACAAGGACAAACAGGTGCATAAGTAGAAAGAGATGGTGACAATAAGGAAACCTCCCCAAAGTTAGCAGCATGGATGCCACGAGATGGAAGAAGCACTGTGGGTGTAAGGAATGAGCAAGTTTATTCTGAAGGTTGTTCAATTAGTCTTTAATTGTGTGCCAGCTTCTGGGTGGTCGCCTGGGGTGGAGGCAGGAAGGCTGACAGTCTTGGTGGCTCCTAAACTTCCATGGCGGCCTCAGCAGCGCTCGGTTACGGTGCTTCCTTCTCTTCTGGACGTGGTGTCTGTGGGATTTCGGAGCTGGGCCCATCCATCCCTTTCAGCCTCTTGTTCCGTCCTCATCTTCAGAGTTCTGTTTCACACAATCCATGTGGTTCCTGGAGGCGCTGATGTGTGCAGCACTGCAGGTCCTGACTGGGCTGTCGATGTGCAAGTGAGAAGGGGAGGAAGGCAGAAAGGAGCAGCCTCCTGCCTGCTGCCCTGTGCTGCCCTCCCCTGCACAGCCCTGCTCACCGGGTTGCTGCTCTGAAAATGGTTTCCGTGGCCATTTGGGTCACACAACATTTGGTTGACACAGGCACTGCGGTGTGCAGGTCTGGTGCCATCCATCCATCCATCCATCCATGCATCCCTCCATCCCTCCCTCCATCCATCCATCCATCCATCCATCCATCCATCCATCCATCCATCCATCCATCCATCCATCCATCCATCCATCCCTCCATCCATCCCTCCATCCATCCATCCATCCACCCATGTATCCATGTATCCATCCATCCATCCCTCCTTACATCCATCCATCCATCCATCCATCCCTCCTTACATCCCTCCATCCATCCTTCCCTCCATCCATCCATCCATCCATCCATCCATCCATCCATCCATCCATCCATCCATCCATCCATCCATCCATCCCTCCATCCATCCATCCATCCATCCATCCATCCATCCATCCATCCATCCATCCATCCATTTTGCCCATGCTGGGTGGGAGCAAGACTCCGACAGGATTTTAATCCCACTTAGAAACCCCCTTTAGCCAATGTGATCAATGCAGATTAGTGGGAAGGTGCCATTGTGCCCCGGAGGCGTTTTCTGCCACTGAGCTCAGCCCTTGCAGGGATTCTTCCATGGGGCTGTGAGAAGCGTCGATCCCTTCAAGGCCTGTGCTTCCTGAAGGATGCTCTCTCTCAGCTCCAAGCCCTGCTGTGTGCAGGTTGCCAAGCAGCAGCCCAGGCTGCCCAGAGCCACATCCAGCCTGGCCTTGAATGCCTGCAGGGATGGGGCATCCACAGCCTCCTTGGGCAACCTGTGCCAGTGCCTCACCACCCTCTGCCTCCAAAACTTCCTCCTCACATCCAACCCAAACCTCCCCTGTCTCACTTTCAAGCCATTCCCCTTGTCCTGTCACCACCCACCCTCACACACAGCCGTTCCCCCTCCCATTTATCTGCTTCTTTCAAGTACTGGAAGGCCGCAGTGAGGTTTCCCTGGGTCTCGTTCAGCTTACGATACACTTTGTCTTATAAAGGCCTGTCAGTGAATGTTGAAGAATAAAAATGGGGAGAAATCTAGAAGGTGGTCACAAACGAGAAGAGAATGGAATGACGAAACATCAGTAAAAGGAGATGAGCATGATAAGGAAAGCCCCAAAAGGTTCCCGAGAAAGATGTCACGAGGTGGAAGCAGTAGACGAGCTTAATGAGACAAGCAGTCTGTTGTGAAGGTGATTTTAATGGTTTAGATGCTCTGCTCAGCTTCAAACCAAGACGAGGTGAGCACAGAGCAGCTGCCTTTGTCCTCGAGAGCATCCCTGTGTGTGTGGGTCCGTGCTGGGGTCCGTAGCTGGGATGTGCTGGGAAGCTGCCCCTGTCCATGCAGGGTGGATCCTCAGGCTGCCTGCAGGAGCGCAGAGCAGTGCAGAACAGGGCAGGTGCTTTCTTCGTGCTTCGGTCGGTGCCTTGGCCAGGTGCAGACACGGGTTGTTGGGCAGAGGCTGCGGTGCTTTGGTTGTGTGTGTGTGCAGAAGTCTTTCTGCAAGGCAGAGGAGAGGGAAGGCAGAAAGGAGCAGCCTCCTGCCCTGCTGCCCTGTGCTGCTCCCCCTGCACAGCCCTGCTCACCGGGTTGCTGCTCTGCCAGCCATTTCCATGGCCGTGTGGGGCTGCCTGTGTCCCCAGGGCTGTATTGGAGGCACGGAGAGCAGATGGAGAGCTGAGGACAGGCGCGTGTCCTCCTGTGGTTCCATCTTGGAGCGGATGCCCTTCTGCAAGGCAGTGGGGAGGCAAGGCAGAAAGGAGCAGCCTGCTGCCCTGCTGCCCTGTGCTGCCCTCCCCTGCACAGCCCTGCTCATCGGGTTGCTGCTCTGAAAATGGTTTCCTTGGCCTTTTGGGTCACCAATGCCACGTTGACACAGGCACTGCGGTCTGCAGGTCCGGTGCCAGCACCTGGAGTGGGGTCAGGACTCAGCAAAGCAGCCCCCAACATCGGGGCAGGGCAAGGGAAAGCATGGGGAGCTGGCAGGGTCCCGCCGGAGCGAGGCGGGCTGCAGTTGGGGAGCGACTTATCTGTGGTGGGGGTGAGCACAGGAGCGTCTCGCCGTCCTGCTGTGTCCCTGTCCCCGTGTGTGGCTGTGAGGCAGAGGAGGAGCGGCCCCATCCATCGCCATGGGCTGCTCCTGCCCGCCACAGCCCTGGCTCCCTGGGTCCTGGGCGGCGCTCTGGGGCTGGCACTGCCCTTGTGCTCAGCATTCCGGGCTGCTGTGACACCAAGCTGGCTCTGGAACACAGCCCCCCCAGCGTGGTGCTCTTGTGACATGGCTGTGCCGGCTGCAGGGGGCTTCCTGGAGCTGCTGGCTGCCCCTGGCAACGTGGCCGTGCCATAGCAGGGCTGGTGCTGCCTGGCCTGGGGCTGCTGCCTTGCGCCGTCCGTCTCATAAATGATGCGTTGTTCATCGCTGAGTGTCTGATGGTGCTTTGGCCGTGGCAGCATGAGCGTCACTGCGCGGTGTGTGAGAAGAGGAAGGCCATCTTTGGCATCCAGCTTTGCCGTGTGATCGGGGGGCTTGGATTGCAAGCAGCCAGGGAGGGGATCCTCAGTGCATCCCGCTTTGACAGAAGCCTCAACGCCAGCCAGCAATGTGCGCCGGCAGCCCAGAAGACCAATGGTATCCTGGGCTGCATGGAGAGAAGTGTGAGCAGCAGGGCAGGGAGGTGATTCTGCCCTCTGCTCTTCTCTCGTGAGACCCCACCTGGAGCACTGCGTGCGGTTCTGGGGCCCCGAACATCAGAAGGACACGGAGCTGTTGGAGAGGGTGCAGAGGAGGGCAGTGAGGATGATCGGAGGGCTGGAGCACCTCCACTGTGGGGACAGGCTGAGAGAGCTGGGAGTCTGCAGACTGGAGAAGAGAAGGCACCAAGGAGACCTGATAGCAGCCTGCCGGGACCTGGGGGGGCCTACAGGAAAGCTGGGGAGGGACTTTTGATATGGCCAGATATTGGCAGGACAAAGGGAAATGGTTTTAAAGTGGGAAGCGTAGGTTTAGAGCAGGGATTAGGAGAAATGCTTTCCTATGAGGGTGGTGAGACAGTGGTGCAGGTTGCCCAGCCAGGCTGTGGATGCCCCGTCCCTGGAAGCACTGCAGGCCAGGCTGGATGGGGCTGTGAGCAAGCTGGGCTATGGGAGGTGTCCCTGCGTGCAGCAGGGGGTTGGGAGTGGGTGAGCTTCAAGGTCCCTTCCAACCCAAACCTTTCTGTGATACCAGGACAAACAGGTGCATAAGTAGAAAGTAATGGTGACAATAAGGAAACCTCCCCAAAGTTAGCAGCATGGATGCCACGAGATGGAAGAAGCACTGTGGGTGTAAGGAATGAGCAAGTTTATTCTGAAGGTTGTTCAATTAGTCTTTAATTGTGTGCCAGCTTCTCGGTGGTCGCCTGGGGTGGAGGCAGGAAGGCTGACAGTCTTGGTGGCTCCTAAACTTCCATGGCGGCCTCAGCAGCGCTCGGTTACGGTGCTTCCTTCTCTTCTGGACGTGGTGTCTGTGGGATTTCGGAGCTGGGCCCATCCATCCCTTTCAGCCTCTTGTTCCGTCCTCATCTTCAGAGTTCTGTTTCACACAATCCATGTGGTTCCTGGAGGCGCTGATGTGTGCAGCACTGCAGGTCCTGACTGGGCTGTCGATGTGCAAGTGAGAAGGGGAGGAAGGCAGAAAGGAGCAGCCTCCTGCCTGCTGCCCTGTGCTGCCCTCCCCTGCACAGCCCTGCTCACCGGGTTGCTGCTCTGAAAATGGTTTCCGTGGCCATTTGGGTCACACAACATTTGGTTGACACAGGTACTGCGGTCTGCAGGTCCGGTGGCAGCACCTGGAGTGGGGTCAGGACTCAGCCAAGCAGCACTAAAAGTTGGGGTGAGGGCAGGGGGAGTTTTGGGAGCTTCCCTGATCCTGTAGGAGCACAGCAGGCTCCAGTTTGAAGCTGACTTATCATTTCTGTAGGACACCAGTTTGGAGGGCTGCGCTGCAACACTTTGGATCTATCCATCCATCCCTCCATCCATCCTTCCATCCATCCCTCCATCCATCCATCCTTCCATCCATCCCTCCATCCATCCATCCTTCCATCCATCCCTCCATCCATCCATCCATCCATCCATCCCTCCATCCATCCATCCATCCATCCCTCCATCCCTCCATCCATCCATCCATCCATCCATCCATCCATCCATCCATCCATCCATCCCTCCATCCATCCATCCATCCCTCCATCCATCCATCCATCCATCCATCCCTCCATCCCTCCATCCATCCATCCATCCCTCCATCCATCCCTCCATCCATCCATCCATCCATCCATCCATCCATCCATCCATGCATCCATCCATCCATCCATCCCTCCCTCCATCCATCCCTCCATCCCTCCATCCATCCATCCATCCATCCATCCATCCATCCATCCATCCATCCATCCCTCCATCCATCCATCCATCCCTCCATCCATCCCTCCATCCATCCCTCCATCCATCCATCCATCCATCCATCCATCCATCCATCCATCCATCCATCCATCCATCCATCCATCCATCCCTCCCTCCATCCATCCCTCCATCCCTCCATCCATCCATCCATCCATCCATCCATCCATCCATCCATCCATCCATCCATCCCTCCATCCATCCCTCCATCCATCCCTCCATCCATCCATCCATCCATCCATCCATCCATCCATCCATCCATCCATCCATCCCTCCATCCATCCATCCATCCCTCCATCCATCCATCCATCCATCCATCCATCCATTTTGCCCCTGCTGGGTGGAAGCAAGACTCCGACAGGATTTCAGTCCCACTTAGAAACCCCCTTTAGCAAATGTGATCCATGCAGCTTAGTGGGAAGGTGCCATTGTGCCCCGGAGGTGTTATCTGCCACTGAGCTCAGCCCTTGCAGGAATTCTTCCATGGAGTTGTGAGAAGCGTCGATCCCTTCAAGGCCTGTGCTTCCTGAAGGATGCTCTCTCTCAGCTCCAAGCCCTGCTGTGTGCAGGTCGCCAAGCAGCAGCCCAGGCTGCCCAGAGCCACATCCAGCCTGGCCTTGAATGCCTGCAGGGATGGGGCATCCACAGCCTCCTTGGGCAACCTGTGCCAGTGCCTCACCACCCTCTGCCTCCAAAACTTCCTCCTCACATCCAACCCAAGCCTCCCCTGTCTCACTTTCAAGCCATTCCCCTTGTCCTGTCACCACCCACCCTCACACACAGCCGTTCCCCCTCCCATTTATCTGCTTCTTTCAAGTACTGGAAGGCCGCAGTGAGGTTTCCCTGGGTCTCGTTCAGCTTACGATACACTTTGTCTTATAAAGGCCTGTCAGTGAATGTTGAAGAATAAAAATGGGGAGAAATCATGAAGGTGGTCACAAACGAGAAGAGAATGGAATGACGAAACATCAGTAAAAGAAGATGAGCATGATAAGGAAAGCCCCAAAAGGTTCCCGAGAAAGATGTCACGAGGTGGAAGCAGTAGACGAGCTTAATGAGACAAGCAGTCTGTTCTGAAGGTGATTTTAATGGTTTAGATGCTCTGCTCAGCTTCAAACCAAGACGAGGTGAGCACAGAGCAGCTGCCTTTGTCCTCGAGAGCATCCCTGTGTGTGTGGGTCCGTGCTGGGGTCCGTAGCTGGGATGTGCTGGGAAGCTGCCCCTGTCCATGCAGGGTGGATCCTCAGGCTGCCTGCAGGAGCGCAGAGCAGTGCAGAACAGGGCAGGTGCTTTCTTCGTGCTTCGGTCGGTGCCTTGGCCAGGTGCAGACACGGGTTGTTGGGCAGAGGCTGCGGTGCTTTGGTTGTGTGTGTGTGCAGAAGTCTTTCTGCAAGGCAGAGGAGAGGGAAGGCAGAAAGGAGCAGCCTCCTGCCCTGCTGCCCTGTGCTGCTCCCCCTGCACAGCCCTGCTCACCGGGTTGCTGCTCTGCCAGCCATTTCCCTGGCCGTGTGGGGCTGCCTGTGTCCCCAGGGCTGTATTGGAGGCACGGAGAGCAGATGGAGAACTGAGGACAGGCGCGTGTCCTCCTGTGGTTCCATCTTGGAGCGGATGCCCTTCTGCAAGGCAGTGGGGAGGCAAGGCAGAAAGGAGCAGCCTGCTGCCCTGCTGCCCTGTGCTGCCCTCCCCTGCACAGCCCTGCTCACCGGGTTGCTGCTCTGAAAATGGTTTCCTTGGCCATTTGGGTCACCAATGCCACGTTGACACAGGCACTGCGGTCTGCAGGTCCGGTGCCAGCACCTGGAGTGGGGTCAGGACTCAGCAAAGCAGCAACAAAAGTTGGGGTGAGGACAGGGGGAATTTTAGGGGCTTCCCTGATCCTGTAGGAGCACAACAGGCTCCAGTTTGGAGCTGACTTATCTTTTCTGTAGGACAGCAGCACTTTGGGTCACCTGGTGCCATTTTTTGGGGGGCTGTCCATCTGCAAGGCAGAGGGGAGGGAATGAAAGGAGCAGCCTGCTGCCCTGCTGCCCTGTGCTGCCCTCCCCTGCACAGCCCTGCTCACCGGGTTGCTCTCCCCAGGGCTGTGAGGAAAGGCCACTGCAGTCAGCAGGTCCGGTGCCAGCACCTGGAGTGGGGTCAGGACTCAGCACAGCAGCACCAAATGTTGGGGTGATGGCAGGGGGATTTTTGGGGGCTTCCCTGGTCCTTTAGGAGCACAGCAGGCTCCAGTTTGGGGCAGACTTATCTTTTCTGTAGGACAGCCGCACTTTGGGTCATCTGGTGCCAGTTATGCTGGGCTGTCCATCTGCAAGTCAGAAGGGGAAGGAAGGATGAAAGGAGCAGCCTCCTGCCCTCTTCCTTGTGCTGCCCTCCCCTGCACAGCCCTGCTCACCGGGTTGCTGCTCTGAAAATGGTTTCCTTGGCCATTTGGGTCACCAATGCCACGTTGACACAGGCACTGCGATCAGCAGGTCCGGTGCCAGCACCTGGAGTGGGGTCAGGACTCAGCACAGCAGCCCCCAACCTTGGGGCAGGGCAAGGGAAAGCATGGGGAGCTGGCAGGGTCCCGCAGGAGCGAGGCGGGCTGCAGTTGGGGAGCGACTTATCTGTGGTGGGGGTGAGCACAGGAGCGTCTCGCCGTCCTGCTGTGTCCCTGTCCCCGTGTGTGGCTGTGAGGCAGAGGAGGAGCGGCCCCATCCATCGCCATGGGCTGCTCCTGCCCGCCACAGCCCTGGCTCCCTGGGTCCTGGGCGGCGCTCTGGGGCTGGCACTGCCCTTGTGCTCAGCATTCCGGGCTGCTGTGACACCAAGCTGGCTCTGGAACACAGCCCCCCCAGCGTGGTGCTCTTGTGACATGGCTGTGCCGGCTGCAGGGGGCTTCCTGGAGCTGCTGGCTGCCCCTGGCAACGTGGCCGTGCCATAGCAGGGCTGGTGCTGCCTGGCCTGGGGCTGCTGCCTTGCGCCGTCCGTCTCATAAATGATGCGTTGTTCATCGCTGAGTGTCTGATGGTGCTTTGGCCGTGGCAGCATGAGCGTCACTGCGCGGTGTGTGAGAAGAGGAAGGCCATCTTTGGCATCCAGCTTTGCCGTGTGATCGGGGGGCTTGGATTGCAAGCAGCCAGGGAGGGGATCCTCAGTGCATCCCGCTTTGACGGAAGCCTCAACGCCAGCCAGCAATGTGCGCCGGCAGCCCAGAAGGCCAACGGTATCCTGGGCTGCATGGAGAGAAGTGTGAGCAGCAGGGCAGGGAGGTGATTCTGCCCTCTGCTCTGCTCTCGTGAGACCCCACCTGGAGCACTGCGTCCGGTTCTGGGGCCCCGAACATCAGAAGGACACGGAGCTGTTGGAGAGGGACCAGAGGAGGGCAGTGAGGATGATCGGAGGGCTGGAGCACCTCCACTATGGGGACAGGCTGAGAGAGCTGGGAGTCTGCAGACTGGAGAAGAGAAGGCTCCAAGGAGACCTGATAGCAGCCTGCCGGGACCTGGGCGTATTACAGGAAAGCTGGGGAGGGCCTTTTGATATGGCCAGATATTGGCAGGACAAAGGGAAATGGTTTTAAAGTGGGAGAGCGTAGGTTTAGAGCAGGGATTAGGAGAAATGCTTTCCTATGAGGGTGGTGAGACAGTGGTGCAGGTTGCCCAGCCAGGCTGTGGATGCCCCGTCCCTGGAAGCACTGCAGGCCAGGCTGGATGGGGCTGTGAGCAAGCTGGGCTATGGGAGGTGTCCCTGCCTGCAGCAGGGGGCTGGGAGTGGGTGAGCTTCAAGGTCCCTTCCAACCCAAACCTTTCTGTGATACCAGGACAAACAGGTGCATAAGTAGAAAGAGATGGTGACAATAAGGAAACCTCCCCAAAGTTAGCAGCATGGATGCCATGGGATGGAAGAAGCACTGTGGGTGTAAGGAATGAGCAAGTTTATTCTGGAGGTTGTTCAATTAGTCTTTAATTGTGTGCCAGCTTCTGGGTGGTCGCCTGGGGTGGAGGCAGGAAGGCTGACAGTCTTGGTGGCTCCTAAACTTCCATGGCGGCCTCAGCAGCGCTCGGTTACGGTGCTTCCTTCTCTTCTGGACGTGGTGTCTGTGGGATTTCGGAGTTGGGCCCATCCATCCCTTTCAGCCTCTTGTTCCGTCCTCATCTTCAGAGTTCTGCTTCACACAATCCATGTGGTTCCTGGAGGCGCTGATGTGTGCAGCACTGCAGGTCCTGACTGGGCTGTCGATCTGCAAGTGAGAAGGGGAGGAAGGCAGAAAGGAGCAGCCTCCTGCCTGCTGCCCTGTGCTGCCCTCCCCTGCACAGCCCTGCTCACCGGGTTGCTGCTCTGAAAATGGTTTCCGTGGCCATTTGGGTCACACAACATTTGGTTGACACAGGCACTGCGGTTTGGAGGTCCAGTGCCAGCACCTGGCGTGGGGTCAGGACTCAGCCAAGCAGCACTAAAAGTTGGGGTGAGGGCAGGGGGAGTTTTGGGAGCTTCCCTGATCCTGTAGAAGCACAGCAGGCTCCAGTTTGAAGCTGAGTTTATCATTTCTGTAGGACAGCTGTTTGGAGGGCTGAGCTGCAGCACTTTGGGCCCATCCCTCCATCCACCCATGTATCCATCCATCCCTCCATCCATCCCTCTATCCATCCCTCCATCCATCCATCCATCCATCCATCCCTCCATCCATCCATCCATTCATCCATCCATCCATCCATCCATCCATCCATCCATCCATCCATCCATCCATCCATCCATCCATCCATCCATCCATTTTGCCCATGCTGGGTGGAAGCAAGACTCCGACAGGAATTTAATCCCACTTAGAAACCCCCTTTAGCAAATGTGATCAATGCAGCTTAGTGGGAAGTTGCCATTGTGCCCCGAGGCGTTTTCTGCCACTGAGCTCAGCCCTTGCAGGGATTCTTCCATGGGGTTGTGAGAAGCGTCGATCCCTTCAAGGCCTGTGCTTCCTGAAGGATGCTCTCTCTCAGCTCCAAGCCCTGCTGTGTGCAGGTCGCCAAGCAGCAGCCCAGGCTGCCCAGAGCCACATCCAGCCTGGTCTCCAATGCCTGCAGGGATGGGGCATCCACAGCCTCCTTGGGCAACCTGTGCCACTGCCTCACCACCCTCTGCCTCCAAAACTTCCTCCTCACATCCAACCCAAACCTCCCCTGTCTCACTTTCAAGCCATTCCCCTTGTCCTGTCACCACCCACCCTCACACACAGCCGTTCCCCCTCCCATTTATCTGCTTCTTTCAAGTACTGGAAGGCCGCAGTGAGGTTTCCCTGGGTCTCATTCAGCTTACGATACACTTTGTCTTATAAAGGCCTGTCAGTGAATGTTGAAGAATAAAAATGGGGAGAAATCATGAAGGTGGTCACAAACGAGAAGAGAATGGAATGACGAAATATCAGTAAAAGGAGATGAGCATGATAAGGAAAGCCCCAAAAGGTTCCCGAGAAAGATGTCACGAGGTGGAAGCAGTAGACGAGCTTAATGAGACAAGCAGTCTGTTGTGAAGGTGATTTTAATGGTTTAGATGCTCTGCTCAGCTTCAAACCAAGACGAGGTGAGCACAGAGCAGCTGCCTTTGTCCTCGAGAGCATCCCTGTGTGTGTGGGTCCGTGCTGGGGTCCGTAGCTGGGATGTGCTGGGAAGCTGCCCCTGTCCATGCAGGGTGGATCCTCAGGCTGCCTGCAGGAGCGCAGAGCAGTGCAGAACAGGGCAGGTGCTTTCTTCGTGCTTCGGTCGGTGCCTTGGCCAGGTGCAGACACGGGTTGTTGGGCAGAGGCTGCGGTGCTTTGGTTGTGTGTGTGTGCAGAAGTCTTTCTGCAAGGCAGAGGAGAGGGAAGGCAGAAAGGAGCAGCCTCCTGCCCTGCTGCCCTGTGCTGCTCCCCCTGCACAGCCCTGCTCACCGGGTTGCTGCTCTGCCAGCCATTTCCCTGGCCGTGTGGGGCTGCCTGTGTCCCCAGGGCTGTATTGGAGGCACGGAGAGCAGACGGAGAGCTGAGGACAGGCGCGTGTCCTCCTCTGGTTCCATCTTGGAGCGGATGCCCTTCTGCAAGGCAGAGGGGAAAGAAGGCAGAAAGGAGCAGCCTGCTGCCCTGCTGCCCTGTGCTGCCCTCCCCTGCACAGCCCTGCTCACCGGGTTGCTGCTCTGAAAATGGTTTCCTTGGCCATTTGGGTCACCAATGCCACGTTGACACAGGCACTGCGGTCTCCAGGTCCAGTGCCAGCACCTGGAGTGGGGCCAGGACTCAGCAAAGCAGCACCAAATATTGGGGTGAGGGCAGGGGGAATTTTGGGGGCTTCCCTGATCCTGTAGGAGCACGACAGGCTCCAGTTTGGAGCTGACTGATCTTTTCTGTAGGACAGCAGCACTTTGGGTCACCTGGTGCCATTTTTTGGGGGGCTGTTCATCTGCAAGGCAGAGGGGAAGAAATGGAAGGAGCAGCCTCCTGCCCTGCTGCCCTGTGCTGCCCTCCCCTGCACAGCCCTGCTCACCGGGTTGCTGCTCTGAAAATGGTTTCCTTGGCCATTTGGGTCACCAATGCCACGTTGACACAGGCACTGCGGTCTGCAGGTCCGGTGCCAGCACCTGGAGTGGGGTCAGGACTCAGCAAAGCAGCACCAAATGTTGGGGTGAGGGCAGGGGGATTTCTGGGAGCTTCCCTGATCCTGTAGCAGCATGACAGGTTCCAGTTTGGAGCTGATTTATCTTTTTTGTAGGACAGCAGTTTAGAGGGCTGATCTGCAGCACTTTTGGTCATCTGGTGCCATTTTTTGGGCAGCTGTTCATCTGCAAGGCAGAGGGAAAGGAAGGATGAAAGGAGCAGCCTGCTGCCCTGCTGGCCTGTGCTGCCCTCCCCTGCACAGCCCTGCTCACCGGGTTGCTGCTCTGAAAATGGTTTCCTTGGCCATTTGGGTCACCAATGCCACGTTGACACAGGCACTGCGGTCTGCAGGTCCGGTGCCAGCACCTGGAGTGGGGTCAGGACTCAGCACAGCAGCCCCCAACATCGGGGCAGGGCAAGGGAAAGCATGGGGAGCTGGCAGGGTCCCGCAGGAGCGAGGCGGGCTGCAGTTGGGGAGCGACTTATCTGTGGTGGGGGTGAGCACAGGAGCGTCTCGCCGTCCTGCTGTGTCCCTGTCCCCGTGTGTGGCTGTGAGGCAGAGGAGGAGCGGCCCCATCCATCGCCATGGGCTGCTCCTGCCCGCCACAGCCCTGGCTCCCTGGGTCCTGGGCGGCGCTCTGGGGCTGGCACTGCCCTTGTGCTCAGCATTCCGGGCTGCTGTGACACCAAGCTGGCTCTGGAACACAGCCCCCCCAGCGTGGTGCTCTTGTGACATGGCTGTGCCGGCTGCAGGGGGCTTCCTGGAGCTGCTGGCTGCCCCTGGCAACGTGGCCGTGCCATAGCAGGGCTGGTGCTGCCTGGCCTGGGGCTGCTGCCTTGCGCCGTCCGTCTCATAAATGATGCCTTGTTCATCGCTGAGTGTCTGATGGTGCTTTGGCCGTGGCAGCATGAGCGTCACTGCGCGGTGTGTGAGAAGAGGAAGGCCATCTTTGGCATCCAGCTTTGCCGTGTGATCGGGGGGCTTGGATTGCAAGCAGCCAGGGAGGGGATCCTCAGTGCATCCCGCTTTGACGGAAGCCTCAACGCCAGCCAGCAATGTGCGCCGGCAGCCCAGAAGGCCAACGGTATCCTGGGCTGCATGGAGAGAAGTGTGAGCAGCAGGGCAGGGAGGTGATTCTGCCCCCTGCTCTGCTCTCGTGAGACCCCACCTGGAGCACTGCGTGCGGTTCTGGGGCGCAGAAGGACACGGAGCTGTTTGAGAGGGTCCAGAGGAGGGCAGTGAGGATGATCGGAGGGCTGGAGCACCTCCACTATGGGGACAGGCTGAGAGAGCTGGGAGTCTGCAGACTGGAGAAGAGAAGGCTCCAAGGAGACCTGATAGCAGCCTGCCGGGACCTGGGCGTACTACAGGAAAGCTGGGGGGGACTTTTGATATGGCCAGATATTGGCAGGACAAAGGGAAATGGTTTTAAAGTGGGAGAGCGTAGGTTTAGAGTAGGGATTAGGAGAAATGCTTTCCTGTGAGGGTGGTGAGACAGTGGTGCAGGTTGCCCAGCCAGGCTGTGGATGCCCCGTCCCTGGAAGCACTGAAGGCCGGGCTGGATGGGGCTGTGAGCAAGCTGGGCTATGGGAGGTGTCCCTGCCTGCAGCAGGGGGTTGGGAGTGGGTGAGCTTCAAGGTCCCTTCCAACCCAAACCTTTCTGTGATACCAGGACAAACAGGTGCATAAGTAGAAAGAGATGGTGACAATAAGGAAACCTCCCCAAAGTTAGCAGCATGGATGCCACGAGATGGAAGAAGCACTGTGGGTGTAAGGAATGAGCAAGTTTATTCTGGAGGTTGTTCAATTAGTCTTTAATTGTGTGCCAGCTTCTGGGTGGTCGCCTGGGGTGGAGGCAGGAAGGCTGACAGTCTTGGTGGCTCCTAAACTTCCATGCCGGCCTCAGCAGCGCTCGGTTACGGTGCTTCCTTCTCTTCTGGACGTGGTGTCTGTGGGATTTCGGAGTTGGGCCCATCCATCCCTTTCAGCCTCTTGTTCCGTCCTCATCTTCAGAGTTCTGCTTCACACAATCCATGTGGTTCCTGGAGGCGCTGATGTGTGCAGCACTGCAGGTCCTGACTGGGCTGTGGATCTGCAAGTGAGAAGGGGAGGAAGGCAGAAAGGAGCAGCCTCCTGCCTGCTGCCCTGTGCTGCCCTCCCCTGCACAGCATGCTCACCAGGTAGCTGCTCTGAAAATGGTTTCCGTGGCCATTTGGGTCACACAACATTTGGTTGACACAGCCACTGCGGTGTGCAGGTCCAGTGCCAGCACCTGGAGTGGGGTCAGGACTCAGCCAAGCAGCACTAAAAGTTGGGGTGAGGGCAGGGGGAGTTTTGGGAGCTTCCCTGATACTGTAGGAGCACAGCAGGCTCCAGTTTGGAGCTGACTTATCATTTATGTAGGACACCAGTTTGGAGGGCTGCGCTGCAACACTTTGGAGCTATCCATCCATCCCTCCATCCATCCTTCCATCCATCCCTCCATCCATCCATCCTTCCATCCATCCCTCCATCCATCCATCCTTCCATCCATCCCTCCCTCCATCCATCCATCCATCCATCCATCCATCCATCCATCCATCCATCCATCCATCCCTCCATCCCTCCATCCATCCATCCATCCATCCATCCATCCATCCATCCATCCATCCATCCATCCATCCATCCATCCCTCCATCCATCCATCCATCCCTACATCCCTCCATCCCTCCATCCATTCATCCATCCATCCATCCATCTATCCATCCATCCATCCATCTGTCTATCCATCCATCCACCCATCCATCCATCCATCCACCCATCCATCCATCCATCCATCCACCCATCCATCCATCCATCCATCCATCCATCCATCCATCCATCCATCCATCCATCCATCCATCCCTCCATCCATCCATCCATCCCTCCATCCATCCATCCATCCATCCATCCATGCATCCATCCATCCATCCATCCATGCATCCATCCATCCATCCATCCCTCCCTCCATCCATCCCTCCATTCCTCCATCCATCCATCCATCCATCCATCCATCCATCCATCCATCCATCCATCCATCCATCCATCCATGCATGCATCCATCCATCCATCCCTCCATCCATCCCTCCATCCATCCATCCATCCATCCATCCATCCATCCATCCATCCATCCATCCATCCATCCATTTTACCCCTGCTGGGTGGATGCAAGACTCCAACAGGGATGTAATCCCACTTAGAAACCCCCTTTAGCCAATGTGATCAATTCAGCTTAGTGGGAAGGTGCCATTGTGCCCCGGAGGCGTTTTCTGCCACTGAGCTCAGCCCTTGCAGGGATTCTTCCATGGGGTTGTGAGAAGCGTCGATCCCTTCAAGGCCTGTGCTTCCTGAAGGATGCTCTCTCTCAGCTCCAAGCCCTGCTGTGTGCAGGTCGCCAAGCAGCAGCCCAGGCTGCCCAGAGCCACATCCAGCCTGGCCTCCAATGCCTGCAGGGATGGGGCATCCACAGCCTCCTTGGGCAACCTGTGCCACTGCCTCACCACCCTCTGCCTCCAAAACTTCCTCCTCACATCCAACCCAAACCTCCCCTGTCTCACTTTCAAGCCATTCCCCTTGTCCTGTCACCACCCACCCTCACACACAGCCGTTCCCCCTCCCATTTATCTGCTTCTTTCAAGTACTGGAAGGCCGCAGTGAGGTTTCCCTGGGTCTCGTTCAGCTTACGATACACTTTGTCTTATAAAGGCCTGTCAGTGAAAGTTGAAGAATAAAAATGGGGAGAAATCTAGAAGGTGGTCACAAACGAGAAGAGAATGGAATGACGAAATATCAGTAAAAGGAGATGAGCATGATAAGGAAAGCCCCAAAAGGTTCCCGAGAAAGATGTCACGAGGTGGAAGCAGTAGACGAGCTTAATGAGACAAGCAGTCTGTTGTGAAGGTGATTTTAATGGTTTAGATGCTCTGCTCAGCTTCAAACCAAGACGAGGTGAGCACAGAGCAGCTGCCTTTGTCCTCGAGAGCATCCCTGTGTGTGTGGGTCCGTGCTGGGGTCCGTAGCTGGGATGTGCTGGGAAGCTGCCCCTGTCCATGCAGGGTGGATCCTCAGGCTGCCTGCAGGAGCGCAGAGCAGTGCAGAACAGGGCAGGTGCTTTCTTCGTGCTTCGGTCGGTGCCTTGGCCAGGTGCAGACACGGGTTGTTGGGCAGAGGCTGCGGTGCTTTGGTTGTGTGTGTGTGCAGAAGTCTTTCTGCAAGGCAGAGGAGAGGGAAGGCAGAAAGGAGCAGCCTCCTGCCCTGCTGCCCTGTGCTGCTCCCCCTGCACAGCCCTGCTCACCGGGTTGCTGCTCTGCCAGCCATTTCCCTGGCCGTGTGGGGCTGCCTGTGTCCCCAGGGCTGTATTGGAGGCACGGAGAGCAGACGGAGAGCTGAGGACAGGCGCGTGTCCTCCTCTGGTTCCATCTTGGAGCGGATGCCCTTCTGCAAGGCAGAGGGGAAAGAAGGCAGAAAGGAGCAGCCTGCTGCCCTGCTGCCCTGTGCTGCCCTCCCCTGCACAGCCCTGCTCACCGGGTTGCTGCTCTGAAAATGGTTTCCTTGGCCATTTGGGTCACCAATGCCACGTTGACACAGGCACTGCGGTCTGCAGGTCCGGTGCCAGCACCTGGAGTGGGGTCAGGACTCAGCAAAGCAGCACCAAATGTTGGGGTGAGGGCAGGGGGATTTTTGGGAGCTTCCTTGGAGCTATAGGAGCACAGCGAGCTCCAGTTTGGAGCTGACTTATCTTTCTTGTTGGACAGCCGCACTTTGGGTCACCTGGTGCCATTTGTTGGGTGGCTGTCCATCTGCAAGGCAGAGGGGAAGAAATGGAAGGAGCAGCCTGCTGCCCTGCTGGCCTGTGCTGCCCTCCCCTGCACAGCCCTGCTCACCGGGTTGCTGTCCCCAGGGCTGTGAGGAAAGGCCACTGCAGTCAGCAGGTCCGGTGCCAGCACCTGGAGTGGGGTCAGGACTCAGCACAGCAGCCCCCAACATTGGGGCAGGGCAAGGGAAAGCATGGGGAGCTGGCAGGGTCCCGCAGGAGCGAGGCGGGCTGCAGTTTGGGAGCGACTTATCTGTGGTGGGGGTGAGCACAGGAGCGTCTCGCCGTCCTGCTGTGTCCCTGTCCCCGTGTGTGGCTGTGAGGCAGAGGAGGAGCGGCCCCATCCATCGCCATGGGCTGCTCCTGCCCGCCACAGCCCTGGCTCCCTGGGTCCTGGGCGGCGCTCTGGGGCTGGCACTGCCCTTGTGCTCAGCATTCCGGGCTGCTGTGACACCAAGCTGGCTCTGGAACACAGCCCCCCCAGCGTGGTGCTCTTGTGACATGGCTGTGCCGGCTGCAGGGGGCTTCCTGGAGCTGCTGGCTGCCCCTGGCAACGTGGCCGTGCCATAGCAGGGCTGGTGCTGCCTGGCCTGGGGCTGCTGCCTTGCGCCGTCCGTCTCATAAATGATGCGTTGTTCATCGCCGAGTGTCTGATGGTGCTTTGGCCGTGGCAGCATGAGCGTCACTGCGCGGTGTGTGAGAAGAGGAAGGCCATCTTTGGCATCCAGCTTTGCCGTGTGATCGGGGGGCTTGGATTGCAAGCAGCCAGGGAGGGGATTGTCAGGAAGATTTAGCTTAGGTATTAGGAGGAAAATCATTCTATCATTCTGCGATCACTGTCAGTGTTTGGAGTTTTGCTGATGCAGTGTTGATTGTTTCCATGAATAACTGTTGAATGCTCCTCAGAGGCTCAGCTGCGTCCCGTGGGACTTTGCTCTTGAACCTTCTCAGCTTTGTTGCCATTCTCTGTATATGCTCTAAAATAAACAAATAGGGACTGAACAGCAAGGCACAAGGAGATGGAAGTAGTAGCGACGAGCTCTGTGGGATCTGTTTCATGGCAGCTCCCTTTTCCCCCTTCAACCTCCAGACAGGATTTACAGAAGGACAGTTTTCCATGAAGGAGAGGTTGAGGGGAGAAGCTGCGGTGCTGGGAGGAGCATCCTTTCCTCTGGAAATGCTAGGAATGTGAAGCTCCCCAGCGTGATGCTGCATGCACAGTGCTGACCAGCCGGCTGTGGAGGACACGTGCTGTAGGGAACTTCAGATCTGTGCTATATCATGCAACAGAGATGCAGAGGACTCATGGAAAATGGGGCTGGCCAGGTCCTAGAAGAGCTGTTTGCTCATCCCTCTTCCCCGCAGCGGGATCAGCTCAGCCTGAGTCACTCCTGAGCAATGCTTGTTCATCCTGTTCTGATAAACCTCCAGTGCTGGCAGCTCACCTCCCCCCGGGGCGGCTGTCAGAGCCTTTCCCTGTCACCAGAAAACTTTTTCCCTTGTCAGATGTAAATCTCCTGTAATTCAATGTCCCTGCTGGCCATATAAACCCATGGCCCTCCTTCTGCCTTGGGCAAGTAACGGGGAGTCAGACTGTGAGCTGCTTTGCACAGCTGCTCCCTGAGTTTAGTCTTCTGCTGGGACAGAGGGAGGATAAGGTCCCAGGGAAAGGGGCTGTATCACACTCCTGGTTTTCCTTTTCCTTCACTCCCCTGTGCCAGAGACATGAATCACAGAATCATAGGATGACAAAATGGCCTGTGTTGCAAAGGAGCACAGCGCTCATCCAGCTCCAAGCCCTGCTGTGTGCAGGTCACCAAGCAGCAGCCCAGGCTGCCCAGAGCCACATCCAGCCTGGCCTTGAATGCCTGCAGGGATGGGGCATCCATGAGAAAGACCCTTGGCACAGCTTTGGCCTGGAGCACTGAGCTCCACCTGCAGGCACAGTAATGGGGTTCCTGAGGCTGTGGACTGTTCTCCCAAAACAGTTCGGATGTGGCCATGATTGAGGCCATGTGCAAGTTTGTGAGGTCAGACCCTGGCGTGTCTGGATTGTAAATGTGATGTCAGTCCATGCTGGGCTCCTCACCACCACTCTTCCACTTTCTGATCTGTTGCACGTGTTGGATCAGGAGGTCTGTTATCTTTCTCCTTCCCTCTTGGCCTTCAGGTGAGAGGCACTTGGGAACAGAAGTGTGCATACAGGCAGCAGCTCTCTCTCCTCACAGGTGGTGAGGCACAAGGCACAGCTCTGTCCTCTCCTTAATTTTTGGGTGTAAGGGGGTTTGGGGAAGCCATTGCTGTAGGGTTGGGGTTCCTCATCTGCTAGAGGGTCAAACGTATCTCAAAGTTTCCAAGGGAAGATTCATCAGCTCAAAGATCTTGGGAGATGAAAAAAAGAGGGGGGGATAAATCATCCCTGTCCCATTGGCCCGAAGCTCCTCCTGCTGTGAGTTTGCCCTTTCCCACAGCAGCATCCGAGGATGTGCTGATAGGATGCACAGAGGGAGGAGGAGCATCTCTTTCTTCTGTTGGACTGGGGAGGAGGGAACATGGATCCATCCACACTTTGTGATGTGCTCGTGCCCTGGGAATGTGAGGAAGGGGAGGCTTTGTGAGGCTTCAGGAAGATGTTCTGTTCGGCAATGGGGGCTCTGAAGCCTTACCAGAGGCTCAGTCTCAATTTTTAGTGCCTCTGATTTTCTCTTCGTTCAATTTTAGTCCTTGATTTGTCCCTGCTGCTGCGGTATCTCCTCCTACTGCTGGTCCTGCCTGAACAAGTATTTGTTTCTATTATATAATGACGTGATGTTCTAATTCAGGTTGGATATTAGGAAAAATTTCTTCTCAAAGAAGAGTGGTCAGGTGCTGAAATGGGCTGCCCAGGGAGTGGGGGAGTCAGCATCCCTGGAGGGGTCCAAGAAACATTTCAATGTGTTACAAAGACACAAATATTGGGATTACGTTGGGGGTCGGTGGATGGTTGGACTTGATGGAGGCCTTTCCCAACCCTGGTGTTTCTATGATTCCATGATAAAATCCTGGTGTGCGAACATCCCTGAGAAAGAAAACTGAAGGGAAGCATTTGTGCCAGGACTGGGAGGAACGTAAGGAGAAATAGGGAGGGAAAGAGAAAGGAAAGAAGGAAATGGAAATGCCATCTTGAATATCTGTGTGCATGCGGGGTAGGTGGGGCCTGGGACCCATCATGGACGTGGCATCATAGGACCACAGAATCATAAAATGGTGAAATCATAGGATCACGAAGGTTGGAAAAGACCCCTAAAATCCCCAAGTCCAACCCCAACCCATCCCTTCTGTGCCCACTGTGTCCCTCAGTGCCGCTTCTACCCTTTTCTCGTTGCACTCTTGCATTTTAAACCAGCT